TTTTTTTTTTTTTTGAGATGGAGTTTCGCTCTTGTTACGCCGGAGTGCAATGGCACGATCTCGGCTCGCTGCAACCTCCGCCTCCTGGGTTCAAGCAATTCTCCTGCCTCAGCCTCCCGACTAGCTGGGATTACAGGCGCGCACTGCCATACCCAGCCAATTTTTGTATTTTTGGTAGAGATGGGGTTTCACCATGTTGACCAGGACGGTCTCCATCTCTTGACCTCGTGATCCACCTGCCTCGGCCTCCCAAAGTGCTGGGATTACAGGTGTGAGCCACCGCGCCCGGCGATAGTGAGTTTTTCATCGCCGAAGGTATTCCAATAAAGGTTGAATGTTACAGAAAAAATTCAAGTAAAATGACTTTTAAGATATGTTTTGGGCTGGGTGTGGTGGCTCATGCCTGTAATCCCAGCACTTTGGGAGGCTGAGGCAGGTGGATCACGAGGTCAAGAGATCAAGACCATACTGGCCAACGTGGTGAAAGCTCCTCTCTACTAAAAACACACAAAAAAATTAGCCGGGCTTGGTGGTGTGTGCCTGTAGTCTCAGCTACTCAGGAGGCTGAGGCAGGAGAATTGCTTGATGCTGGAAAATGGAAGTTACAGTGAGCTGGAATCATGCCACTGCACTCCAGCCTGTAGGTAGAGCAGACTCTGTTTCAAACCAAACCAAACCAAACCACAACAAAATGATATGTTTTGACCCTGAAATTCTATGATGAGTTCAAGCTGAACACCAAGTATGGCAACAGGGAGAGCTGAGGGACCACAGGAAGGGTCCTGTTAGCTCTAAATAATGGTCCATGGGCCAGGTGTGGGGGCTCACACCTGTAATCCCAGCACTTTGGCAGGCCGAGGTGAGCGGATTGCCTGAGCTCAGGGGTTCAAGACCAGCTTGGCCAACATGGTGAAACCCCGTGTCTACTACAAATACAAAAATTAGCTGGGTGTAGTGGTGGATGCCTGTAATCCCAGCTACTCGGGAGGCTGAGGGAGGAGAATCACTTGAACCTGGGAGATGGAGGCTGCAGTGAGCCAAGATTGTGCCACTGCACTCCAGCCTGGGTGACAGGCAGAGACTCCATCTCAAAACAGAACAGAACAAAACAAAACAAAAGGTCCATGAAGCACTTTCATTTCAGACCCGGTGCCTTAGACCTAGTGTCATCCTGGAAATTGCCATAGCCCTTTCCTTTCCCCACTTGGAGCCTACCACTGCCTCTTAGACTGCCCACTGCTGGATGAGATTCAGGTGTCCTCCCTCCCTCACTTCTCTCCAGAAAATTCCACTGCCTTGAGAATGGAGGGAAATAGCCTTGCCTCCCAGGACCACGGTCATGTAGAGTTCCTGTGAATGTGCACAACTCAAGCAGACTTTCCCCACAGCCTATGCCAAAACCCAGGACCGGAGACACCAAGGGTTCCAGCTCAGCTGAGGATTTCAAAACCCAAATGAAGAGCCCAAATAAGGGCTCTTAGGAATGGATGAGCAATGACTTTTTAAAAAGTGATGAGGCCAGTAATCCCAGCACTTTGGGAGGCTGAGGCAGGTGGATCACGAGGTCAGGAGTTTGAGACCAGCCTGGCCAATATGGTGAAACCCAGTCTCTACTAAAAAAAGGATAGTAAAATTAGCCAGGCATGGTGGTGCATGCCTGTATTCCCAGCTATCGGGAAGCTGAGGGAGAAAAATTGCTTGAACCCGGGAGGCAGAGATTGCAGTGAGCCAAGATTGAGTCACTGCACTCCAACCTGAGTGACAGAGCAACACTCCATCTCAAAAAAAAAAAAAAAAAAGGGATCAGTAAAGTGAAACAGCTAAAGGTATGCTGAGTCCCAGTGGTGTTTGAAGGGTGCTGATTGGGGCTTGGGAGAGGATGAGTATTTTTGGGGAGAAACAAGAATGATTTGGGGCCACCTGGATTTGATGGGTCAGGCCAAATAGAAATGAATCAGGTGGGCTGCTGGTAAATACGGAGTAGACAAATAGGCTTCTCTAAATAGCATATAGGGGCCATGGATTTGGCTGTTTGTAATAGGTTGCAGAAAAGCAAGGAACATAAATTGATCCTAGAAACAATTAGGAATCTGCTTCTACCCTTCTGCTGTCAAGTGGTGTACCAATATTGGCCCAGTGCCAGGAAGGGAGGGGAGAAATTCTCAATCCAAGTGCTTTGGTTGCTCCTTCCAGATGAAGTTGATTTTTCAATCCACTCAATGTCTTGGAGTCTCCAAATGTGTCTTATGTAAATGATGTGTCATCTGCAGTTGAGAGCATCAGAACAGTGCTGAAAGAGCATTATATGCTGAAAAGCTGTATCAATTATTATTACTCCATCACTCAAGTGGAGGGATGTCCAATGGGATGGAAAATTGAGGCTACTGAGGCAAATATTCAACAAATATGTGTCAAATAACTTTGTTACACATTTCTTAAAAATCTATGCAAAAATATGCAATATGCTTACTGAGAATATTAATGTGAGGTTGGAGGCAAAATAACTCACAGAATTCTAGAAAGGGGGTTCATAACCATCATGGAGGGTGGACTTGATCTCAAAAAAGTCATGGCTCTTCTCAGAAAAGTGCACAAACACAGATTTATGAAATTACACAGAATATTTAATTAATTAATTAACTTATTTATTTCTGAGATGAAGTCTCCCTCTGTCACTCAGGCTGGAGTGAAGTGGTGTGATCTCGGCTCACTGCAACCTCTGCCTCCTGGGATCAAGTGATTGTCCTGCCTCAGCCTCCGGAGTAGCTGAGATTACAGGCATGTGCCACCACACCCGGCTAATTTTTTGTATTTTTAGTAGAGATGGGGTTTCACTGTGTTAGCCAAGTTGGTCTCAATCTCCTGACCTTGCTATCTGCCTACCTCGGCCTCTCAAAGTGCTGTGATTACAGGCATGAGCCACTGTGCCCGGCCTTTTATTTATTTATTTAAAAAAAGACAGGGTCCAGGAGACTGAGGCAGGAGAATTGCTTGAACCTGGGAGGCAGAGGTTACAGTAAGCCAAGATCGTGTCACTGCACTCCAGCCTGGCGACAGAGTGAGACTCCGTCTCAAAAAAAAATAAGTCAGGATAACAATTATCTTTGACAAAGTAAGTATTGACTAGAATGGAGCAGGCTTCTGGGGTGCATTGATTTCCATTTGTGAAAACTAATTGAGCCGTAAAATTTTAATCTGTATAATTTGAATTTTTGGTATGTATGTTATACTTTAGAATTTTTTTGAAAAAAAAAATGGGGTTTTTCAGTTTCTGCAAACAGCATTAAAACAATTCCAAAGTATATAAACTAAAAAACTCTAATGCTGCGCAAAAGTATATTATTAGGTTGGTGCAAAAGTAATTGCGGTTATTGCCATCGAAAGACATGGCAAAAAAATGTAGGTGCCATTTGGCTTTAAAAAATTTTTAACTGTGACATAGTGCTTCACATGGTGTGCAGGGAAAACTCTAACCATGTTTTTGTCACTCTCACAGCAGAACAATCAATGCATATTTCTGTGACCAAATGTTGGGGGTAGTTTCCCCACACAAGCAGCGGACAGCAGGTAGGGGTCCTCTAATTCATTTCTGACACTGTCTACCCAGAGATGGTGTCAAATCCTACAGGTTGAGGGCTCAGTCCCCAAGCCTGCCCACCCCCCAACACCAGTCACAAGTCTGGGCCTCTGGAACCAACTGGCTTCAAGTTAGGGTTCTCATGACCCCCTCTTTGAGTTTGATTACTTTGGTGGAGTGGCTCACAGAACTCAGGGAAACACATTTACCAGTTTGTTACAAAAAGTATTACAAAGGATATAGATGGCTGGACACAGTGGCTCACGCCTGCAATCCCAGCACTTTGGGAGGCCAAGGCGGGTAGAGTACCTTAGGTCAGGAGTTCAAGACCACCCTGGTCAACATGGTGAACCCCGCACACCCTGTCTCTACTAAAAATACAAAAATTAGCCGTGTGTGGTAGCCCACACCTGTAATCCCAGCTACTTGGGAGGCTGAGGCAGGAGAATCGCTTGAACTGGGGAGGTGGAGGTTGCAGTGAGCCAAGATCATGCCACTGCACTCCAGCCTGGTTGAGAGTGAGACTCCATCCCAAAAATAAATAAATAGGTAGGGTGCCAGTGGCTCATGCCTGTAATCCTAGCACTTTGGGAGGACGAGGTGGATCACGAAGTCAGGCGATGGAGACCATTTTGGCTAAAATGGTGAAATGCTGTCTCTACAAAAAATATAAAAAATTAGCGGGTGTGGTAGCACATGCCTATAGGCCAAGCTACTTGGGAGGCTGGGGCAGGAGAATCACTTGAACCCAGGAGGCAGAATTTGCAGTGAGCCAAGATCATGCTACTGCACTCCAGCCTGGGTAACAGAGAGAGAGAGAGAGAGAGAGAGAGACTCTGTCTCAAAAAATAAATACAAACAAAAATGAAATAAAATGCATAAAAAAAAAAAGATACAGATGAAGAGACACATGGGGCAAGGGATGGGGAAAGGGATGCAGAGCTTCCAAACCCTCCCTGGGGCACCACCCTCCAGGAACTTCCACATGTGCAGGTATCCCGAAGCTCCCTGAACTCTTGGGTTTTTATGGAAGCTTCAGGACCTCAGCATTCCTTCCCCCAGGGTATAGGGGGAGCCTCTCTGGGGAGGATGTTGAGACCCACAATCTGAAAGCCTGGGAAAGATTAGAGTCCTGCTTTGGGGCAGGTGAAAGGGGGGCAGGAGGAGGAGAGATTCTATTTCCCAAGGCCTAACATGCACCAATATTACAACAAAAGACTAACAAGGGCTATGGGAATTATGAGCCTAGAACTGTGGACAAAAGCCAATGTCTATCATAACACCATATGTGGTACAGTAGACATCTGGTATTTTTGTCTGCCCTATCTACATTCTCTTACCTGTTAAGCCTCAAATTTCCTTGGGAAACCACTTGTGTTAGTTTCCTACTACTGCGGTAACACATTAGCAACAACTTAATGGCTTAGATAAAACACAAATTTATTCTTACAGTTCTGTAGTTTAGAAGTCTGACACAAGTTTGGCTGGACTGAAAAGTAAGGTGTTGGCAGGCCTGTTCTTTCTGAAGGCTCTAGAAGAAAATCTGCTTCCTTGCATCTTCACTGCTAGAGGCCACCTAGATTGGTCACTCTGTGATCTCTCCTCTGTCTTTGATGTCGGCAATGTTGCCTCCCCCAGACCGTTCTCCCATTCCTATCTCTAACACTCTTCTCTCTCCCTCTTCCATTTTTAATGGCACTTGTGATTACATTGGACCCAGCCAAAAATCCAAGGTACTCTCCCCATTTTTTGCTGTGCCCTTTTTTTCTTCTAAAATGTCCATATTTTAATGTCAGTTGATTTGCACCCTTCATTCCTCTTTGCCATGTGACCCGACAAATTCACAGGTTCTGGAGGCCTAAAAGTGACACTAACAGGAGCAGTGAAGGGTGAAGAGAGACCAAATCTCTTGACTTTGTTAGAGCCCTTGATCTGACTGTGGAAGAACCAGAAAAGTCTCTGGGCTTTTCAGTTACTTGAACCTCCTCTTCAGTCAGTTTGTGTTGGAGTCCCCAGACTTGCAACTGAGTGTCTTGATTGTTACATATGACAGCATGCATTACATTTGATGTTGAATACATTTAGTTTTGTTTATTTTAATGGCAATAAGTACATACCAAAGGAATGATGAGTATGAGAAAATCAAGAGACACATCAAACTATCAAACTTCAACTTCCAAAAATGGTAGAAAAGTTCATTTGGACCACTCTCCTATCAAAGAAAACTGAAAAAGCTGGAGATCATGCCACTGCACTCCAGCCTGGGTGACAGAGCAAGGCTCTGACTCAAAAAAAAAGAACGAAAGAAATCCATACTTAAGACACATCAAAATGACACTGCAGAGCTGGGCATGATGCAATAATCCGAGTGAGGGATCCTGATGTCACTCAGTGGCGGCGGTACAGTTTTAGTGCAATGGTGGCCAGGCTGTGCTTCCAGTAGGGCAGCAATGGCAGTGGGCGCTGGCAGCTTCCTGATCTTTGGGCATCCTCTTCTCTGACTCATCAGCCTTCCTGACATTACTACAGACCCCTTCCACCAAATCCCTCTTTGTTAGAAATATTTAGAGTTGTTTCTGTTGTTTTTTTTTTTGAGACAGAGTTTCACTCTTGTCGCCCAAGCAAGATGGTGCAATGGCACCATCTTGGCTCACTGCAACCTCCACCTCCCAGGTTCGAGCAATTTTTATATTTTTAGTAGAGACAGGGTTTCACTATGTTGGTCAGGTTGGTCTTGAACTCCTGACTTTGTGATCTGCCTGCCTCAGCCTCCCAAAGTGCTGAGATTACAGGCGTGAGGCACCAGGCCCAGCCCTTTTTTTTTTTTAAAGTGAAACCTGACTGACTGTAATACTATAAAAAAGAAACATTCCCAAAATAAGGAGTTAATTGGATATTAACAATGTGAAAGCAGAAATAAAAAATTCAATTGAAAAGTTGGAAAAGAACGTTGATGAGGCCAGGAGCGGTGGCTCACACCTATAATCCCAGCACTTTGGGAGGCCAAGGTGGGTGAATCATGAGGTCAAGAGATCGAGACCATCCTGGTCAACAAGGTGAAATCCCGTCTCCACTAAAAATACAAAAATTAGCTGGGCATGGTGGTATGCTCCTGTAGTCCCAGCTAGTCAGGAGGCTGAGGCAGGAGAATTGCTTGAACCCAGAAGGCAGAGGTTGCAGTGAGCTGAGATCGTACCATTGCACTCCAGTCTGGGTAACAACAGCGAAACTCCGCCTCAAAAAAAAAAAAAAAAAAAAAAAAGTTGATGAAATCACCCTGAAAGTAGGGAAAAACAAAATAAAAAAATAAAACAAGGGCGTGGTGGTAAGCATCTATAGACCCAGCTACTTCAGAGGCCAAGTTGGGGGGATTGCTGGAGTCCAGGAATTTGAGGCTGCAATGAGCTGATTGCTCCACTGCACTCCAGCCTGGTGACAGAGTGAGACCTTTCTCTCAAAAATAAATACGTCCAGGCATGGTGGCTAACACCTGTAATCCCAGCACTCTGGTAGACCGAGTCAGGCAGATTGCTTGAGCTCAGGAGTTTGAAACCCGCCTAGGCAACATGGCAAAACCTTGCTCCTACAAAAAATAAATTTAAATTAAAAATTAAAAAATATGTAAAACAAAAACCCAGCTGGACACAGTGGTTCATGCCTGTAATCTCAGCTCTTTGGGAGGGCGAGGCAGGTGGATCACAAGGTCTGGAGTTTGAGACCAGCCTGGCTAACATGGTGAAACCCTGTCTCTACTAAAAATACAAAAATTAGCCAGGCATCATGGTGCAGGACTATAATCCCAGCTACTCGGGAGGCTGAGGCAGGAGAATTGCTTGAACCTGGGAGGTGGAGGTTACAGTGAGCTGAGATCATGCCACCACACTCCAGCAACAAAAACAAAACAAAAAAAACCCAACACATTATAAGTGCTCAAAATTTAAAACTGTAACAATATTATGTGACAATATCATGATGTAAACCACTTATTCTCATGTCATCATACGGATACTGTGTGGTGCCAAGAGCACGCATCCTGCCTGGCATTTGACTGTGATGTACATGTACTGCAGCAATATAGTGGTTAGTACAATTTCAAGAGAGCTGAGAAGTGTCAATTTAAAGAAAACTAGAGGAAGATTATACTCTTCTAACTAATGACACTGACAAGAACATTAAATATATTTGTGGCTAGATAAGTTTTATCTATGCAAATGCCTGCATAAGTTGATGTCAAACAGGAAGAGATTTTTCTAAAGGCTTAAAATTTATTAAACAGGCAGGGTGAGGTGGCTCACGTCTGTAATCCCAGCACTTTGGGAGGCCGAGGCAGGTGGATCACTTGAGGTCAGGAGTTCGAGACCAGCCTGGCCAACACAGTGAAACCCCATCTCTACAAAAATACAAAAATTAGCCAGGCATGATGGTAGATGCCTGTAATCCCAGCTACTCAGGAGGCTGAGGTAGGATAATTGGTTGAACCCAGGAGGCGGAGGTTGCAGTGAGCTGAGATTGCACTCTTGCACTCCAGCCTGGGCAACAGAGTGAGACTCTGTCTTGAGGGGAGAAAATTATTAAACAATAGAACTTGGTGTTTCTCTTTAATCTGTCTCTGAACTCAGGTGACTGACACATCATTATTAGTAGTCTCCCCTCACTAATCATTTTCACCACATACAGATCTCATATCTTTGGGTGACACTTTCCATGTCTCTGGAAATCTTTTAAATTGCTCTCAGTTACAACAGAAGGGCAAGGTTTTCATCTGGCATATTCTATTCCATCAGAGGCAAAACCACATTCCTCACTTATCTTGCTTAAATTGTGCCTGTCTGCAAACAGTATACAAAGAACTTATTGTTAACACATAAAAAGTACAGTATAATCTCTATGCTATAGGAGTAACTCCATTTTCATTAAATAATTATTTTGATTTTTATTATCTGTCTATAAAGAAACTATAAAAATACATGTAAAAGCATCGAAAAAGTACTTTAAAATCCTGAACTGATATGATACATCTTCTATGATTTACAAGAGTAAAATGTTAAATTCTACAAGTTAGAATTTCTGAATTGATTTTGACAGGAATTGACTAGAAGGAACCAGAACATCAAAGCTTACAGATCTTCTATTCATCCCCAGTTAAGTTTCTGAAAAGCTCCTCATCTGTTGACAAGCACAGACCACTGAGTCACTTGATGCTGCCACTAATGGTGAGGCTACTCTGAAGGGCAGAGGTCTATGCTGGATATGCCCCACCTTCCATGCAACTGATCAAAGTGGTCTTCTCTTATTTTTTCCCTTATGTGTAAAATAAAAGTACAAATGTACATATGGTAAAAAATGCAAATAGTACAGACAGATCTAAAATAATAAGTATATATCCTTTTCTCCCATACCACAACAAATCTGATGGTTTCAAAATCCCAAAACATGAGTAACTCACAAACTAAAGTCAACCTTGGAGTCTCTTTATCTGAAAATTATTTTCAGGCCTTAGGAACGATGTCGATTGTCTCATATATTACCTGTGTTACAGCGGAAAGTCATGCAGTCTTTTTCTCCAAAAAAAAGTTTAAAGCAACATGTACACACTGTTCAGAGACAGCAAAGTCCAGACAGCATCGCAGACTCCACTGGGTCTAGTCATGGCTCCAGAGAGTCCCTGGCATCATCCCTGACATTAAGGAAGCACACTTATTAACAAGCCGTTTTCAAAAGTAAGACAACAGACGGAGTCTTGCTCTGTCACCAGGCTGGAGTGCAGTGGCACAATCTCGGCTCACTGCAACCTCCGCCTTCCGGGTTCAAGTGATTCTTCCGCCTCAGCCTCCCGAATAGCTGAGATCACAGGCATGTGCCAGCACGCCTGGCTAATTTTTTTGTATTTTTAGTAGAGACGGGGTTTCGCCGTGTTGGCCAGGATGGTCTCGATCTCTTGACCTCGTGATCCGCCCGCCTCGGCCTCCCAAAGTGCTGGGATTACAGGCGTGAGCCACTGTGCCCGGCCAGAAAACTTTCTATTAATCAAAATGAGGTCATCTGATTCTTATAATCTCAACACTTTGGGAGGCCAAGGCAGGAGTTGCAGTGAGCCACGATGGCACCACTGCACTCCAGACTGGGTGACAGAGTGAGACCCCTGTCTCATAAAATAAACAACAACAACAAAAAAAAATTAGGGTCATCTGTCCATTATTTAATAGAAAGATAGCTTTATCTAACACTGTACAAAAGGGCACAAGCCACATAGTGCCAGACAGTCAAAACTAGATCAAACCTTTATACTAGAGAACAAAGGGAAGGTAAGGTGGTGAGAAACTAGGGATGGAGAAAGGAAATTCCTTGAGAAATTCCAGCTCCAGTCATGAGAAAGCGGCTGCACTTACCCACGGGCTGAGCAGGAAAGACTGACAGAAACACTGGGCACAGGAGCTCAGCCGAGTCCTCCCTCAATGCCCCGGATCCTCCGGGCCAGTTGCACATCCTTTGGGAAGAGAGTAACTCGGCCGGCATGTAAGGTGAGGAGATAGGCATCCTCAAAGAGATGAACTAGAAATGCTTCTGCAGCCTGGAGACAGAAAGAGAAAAAGAACGACGGACACAGATGAATGGGCATGAGCTGCTTTTTCTTGGAGACCCACTAACCTTAAGCTCTGAGGGCTCAGAGGACTGTAGGAAACTGTTCACAGAATGAGACTGAACTCTGCCAGGAAATTCTGCTATCACCACACAGAATCCAGCCTCTAAACCCTCAGGGTTACCTTGTTCTTTTCCAGGAGGTCAGATTCAGCATGTGACACTCCGGTCAGCCCTGGAGAATTCTAGGCTGCCTCTTTCTCCCACTCAGCCCTTACCCAATCGTGCCTTGGCACCTTCTTACCTCTTGTAGGGCCAATAGGGCCTGGGCTTGCCAATTGAAGTCCACACCACGAGTGAATTTAACACTTATTTCTCTTGCCTATGAAGGAGTGGGGATGGAGAGGGTTGGGAGTAACAGAAGAGAGATTCAAGGGACAATGCTGCTCTCCGTGAGTTCCAGAGAATCCTCCTTTCCATGACTTTTTCCTGGTCCTTATCTTAGGACCTAATTAGGAGCAGGTGTTAACTCCTGGGAGCTTAGGAACCAGCAGATCTTAGTGGTGATGGAGAAATCACCAGTAATTGGGTGATGGGAGGCAATCTCCTGGGTAGGAAAAGGGCTCCAAGGGTGGACAAACAAGAGAGTTCCTATTGATACAGTCAAAAACTTCAGGCAGTGGGGGTTAGAAATCAATTCCATAAAGAATTACAAGGTGCTCTTGGAGGGCTCATGTTTTCAGAAATGAAGCTCCCCCTACCAGATTAGAGAAGAGGTCCCCTGGCCATTTAGGTAAGAAACAGTAGGGTCCCTACTACCTGGGAAAATTTGAAAAAGGAGGGTGGCATGGGGTTGGCGGGAAGCTCCCAGAGCTCACCAGGCGGCTGAAGGGGTACTTCCTTAACAAGAGGTGTGTGCTCTTCTGAAGCTTTCGGATCTCCTTTAGCCAACCTTGCCTTCGATAACCACGTGGACGTGAGGAAGCACCTGAGCAAAAAAAGGGTAAGTTCAGTGGACAGTAGGTAGTGCCTCTCAGCTTGGCTGAGTCAGGTAAGCTGCCAAATTGCTAGACTATGTGCCTCCATTCCACAGAGTAGGGATTTTTGTCTATTTTATTAGGTTGGTGCAAAGTAATTGCAGTTATGCAAAACGCACAATTACTTTTGTACCAACCTGATATTCAGTTACTTTGCTGCTATCTTCAGCAACTAGAAAGCAGCAGATAGGTGCTAAATATTTGTTAAACAAATGAGTGATCTTTTGCAGTTTATTTTATTTATTTATTTATTTGAGACAGAGTTTTGTTCTTGTTGCCCAGGCTGGAGTGCAATGGCATGACCTTGGCTTACTGCAACCTCCGCCTCCTAGGTTCAAGTGATTCTACTGCCTCAGCCTCCCAGGTAGCTGGGATAACAGGCATGCACCACCATACCCAGCTAATTTTTTGTATTTTTAGTAGAGATGGCTTCTCCATGTTGGTCAGGCTGGTCTCGAACTTCCAACCTCAGGTGATCCTCCCGCCTTGGCCTCCCAAAGTGCTGGGATTACAGGTGTGAGCCACCACACCTGGCCTTACAGTTGCTTTTTTTTTTTTTTTGCAGCTGCTTTTAAATGCTAACTCTTCCATGAAGCCTTTCCCAAATGCTGATCCCTTCCAAACAGATGGGTGACTGCCTCCTCTAGGCTTTGCAGGACTTTGTACAAGTCTTAGATCCTTCCCACCTAGATTGGAAGCTCAGTTATTTTGTTTTTAGATCTTGGTTTGTTTTTTACAGTTGAAAAGAATCTGAGAGACTATCTAGTACAATTCCTTTATCTTGATTATCCTGAGGCCCAGTGAGGTGAAGACAGTTGGCCAGCCCTTATTAGCGGCCAAGCTGAGACCTGTGTAAGGAGTGGCCTAACTCAGTGCCAGTGTTAGGCACCTGGGCTGTGGAGTCAGAGCCCTTGGTTCAAATCCTGGTTCCAACAACAAAAAAATAAAATAAGCTTAAAAACATTCTCAAAAGTAGAAATCAAAAAAAGCCAAATTCTCTAATCAGAAATTAAAAACCCATGAATAAAAAAACTAGTTTCTTCTAACTAACCCTGTGTTGAAGAGGAAACTTAATCAAGTCAGACTAATTAGAAATGAATAACAAAAAAAAAAGCCCATATCCCAAAACCTATGCGATACAGCCAAAATGGTACTAGAGGAAAATGCATAGCCTTAACACTAAAAGATATCTGAGCTAAGCATTCAGCTTAAGTATTAGAGTTATTAAAGTAAACCAAAACAAGATAGAACAAAAGAAATATTAGATAATAAATTAGTGAAAAATGAAAGTTAAAGAAAAAATGGTTCAGTTGCCCCATAATTACAACCAAGGACCAAAATGAGTGAACTTCTGAAAAGTTGATTAAACAAACAAAAATAACATTTTGAAGGATAAAATTAGTTTCAGAAATGTTATTCAAGATCCAGCCAAGAAAAAAAGACTGTACCAAGTCAAATAGAAGGCGTTTAATACAGTGAACTAATCACAAAGCGTCAGAAGAGCTGCAAGAGCAAGTGGGGAAGGTAAGACAATCCAGAGATGGCCTGTGCCAGGCAGCCAGCAGAGGAGACCATCCCTGGGTAAGGTTAGAGAACAAAGGTCAATGAAACACAGCAGTGTCCAGGAGACTGGTGACATTTCAAAGAGGGAGGATCCATACCCTGGAGACAAGCTACTCACATCTCCCTCCCTCCCTACCACCAGTTAGCAACCCAGTCACTGGAGGCAGTCTTTCATAAACAGAGATAGGGCTGGGTGCAGTGGCTCATGCCTGTAATCTCAGCGCTTTGGGAGACTGAGGTGAGTAGATCACCTGAGGTCAGGAGTTTGAGACCAGCCTGGCAAACAGGGCAAAACCCTGTCTCTACTAAAAATACAAAAATTAGCCGGGTGTGGTGGTGGGCACCTGTAATCCCAGCTACTTGGGAGGCTGAGACAGGAGAATCACTTGAACTTGGGAGGTGGAGGTTGCAGTTAGCCAAGATCACACTATTGCACTCCATCCTGGGTGACAAGAGTGAGACTATGTCTGAAAATAAATAAATAAATAAAATTAAAAATAAACAGACATAGCAGAATCTTCACAGAAAATGTGAGGATGAACACAACTAAAGATCATCCAGCAACTTAAGAAGGCCATTCAGCTGTTGTGTAAGGAAAGAACTGGAAAGGGACAAGAGGAAGTGAGACTGTCTCTAAAATTAAAGAAAGAATACCAGAGAAGGGGGTTAGGACTGCCAAGAAATGTTGAGTGCCCATGAAAGAGAACCAAACTCAACAAACAAATAACCAATACCAGAAGAAATTGAGTTACTAGAGAAAAGAGATGGAAACTTGGAGAGAAAAATGGATAATAACCTAAGTGAGTTAACAGAGATACGAAATTCATGACCCAAGAACAAGTGGTTACGAAAAGTAACCAATTAGAGAGATCATGGAAAAGAACTGGGATCAAAATGTAGTAGTTGGGTCTTGAAATGCCAACATGAGGAGATGGAATTTAATCCTAACGTAATGAGAAGCCAGGGAAGAGTTTTTAGCAGGATAGAGATGTCGAAGGTCATTCCAGCTATTGTGTAAGGAAAGAACTGGAAAGGGACAAGAGGAAGTGGAGTAGTCGCTGATTAGGAGGCTCTCACAGTTGCTCTTGGGAGATGCTGGTGGCTTGGACTAGGCTGGTGGGAGTAGAGATGGTGAAAATGGAATGATTAAGGATGCAGTTTGGAAGTAGAATTATCTGAACCTGCATCTGTATTGAAGATGGGGGTCTCCCAGGCTCATGGTTTGAACGACTGGGTGGGTGATTGTGCCATTTATTGAAATGGGGAAATTGAGGATGAAGGGGCTGGAGGAGAGTAACCAGAAGTTCAGTTTGGGGTGTGCTAAGTTTAACATAACCAAGAGCATTCAGGTAGAAAGGCAGTTAGATATAGGTATCTGGGGTCAGAGGAGAGATCCAGGTATTTGTAAACTTGAGAGCTGTCAAGTAGGAGTGGTATTTAGAGCCACAAAGGAGATGAGATCATCTAGAGAGGGGGTAGAAAGGAAAAGGATGTCAAGGAAGTCCAATGTCAAGGAGCTGGAGGGAGGCAGCATAGGCAGTGAAGAAGGATAAGCAGAACTGCCAGAGTCCACAGTGGCATGGAAGCTTAGGGAATAGCACGCTTCAAGGAGAAAGAGGCCCACTGTGTCAGATGCTTCCGGGACACAGTAAGAACACAGACCTGCCTACTGGATTTGGCAATACAAAAGGTGCTGATGACCCTGACAGGTGTAGTTCAAGGGGTAGTGGTTGTGGGGAGTCAGATTGGAGTAGGTTGTAGGGTCACTAGGATGGAAGGAATCAGACACAACATATGTAGACCTAACTAAGTCTGGCTATTTTAAAACGATGGCTATGAAGGGGGAGTAGAGAGAAATGGGAGGTATAGGGAGGTGAGAATGTGGGGTCAAGGAAACACTCCTGTACTTTCTCTTAACATCATAAATACTAGAGCACATTTGCCAATGCTAATGTGAAGTGTCTGGATTTATCTAAGCACAGGTAGAAAGGACAACAGAAAGCTCCTTGTAGGTGAAAGAAGGATATGACCAAGAGCCCATGTAGAAGGAGGGGTGGCTTTGATAGGAAGGGGAACTTAGTCAAGGCCATCATTAGCTAAGAGTGAGTGGGGGGAATGGAGCTGTAGGAAGTCATGGAGGGAGGAAAAGGTATGAAATAGTCATGAGGGCCAGGCGTGGTGGCTCACACCTATAATCCCAGCACTTTGGGAGGCTGAGGCAGGCAGATCATGAGGTCAAGAGATCAAGACCATCCTGGTCAATATGGTGAAACCCCGCTCTACTAAAAATAAAATATTAGCTGGGCATGGTGGCACACACCTGTAGTCCCAGCTACTTGGGAGGCTAAGGCAGGAGAATCACTTGAACCCAGGAGGCGGAGGTTGTAGTGAGCCGAGATCATGCCACTGACTCCAGCCTGGTGATACAGCAAGACTCCGTCTCAAAAAAAAGAAAAGAAAAGAAAAGAAAATAAAAGAAATAGTCATGGGGAGAATGAAAAAGCAAGAATTCCAGACAAAGGCCAGGCAAGATGGCTCATTCTTGTAATCCCATCATTCTGGAAGGCCAAGGCGGGAGAACCACTTTAGGCCAGGAGTTCAAGACCATGCTGGGCAATATTTTTGTAGAGTCAAAACATTTTGAAGCCGGAGGATCACATGAGCCCAAGAGGTCAAGGCTGCAATTAGCCAAGATAGCACCACTGCACTCCAGCCCGGATGACAAAGTGAGACTCTGTCTCTAAAATTAGAGAATACCAGACAAAGCAGGTAGGACTACCAAGAAGTGTTGAGAGCCCATTTGAGAGAAACCTTCCATTTAACCAGGAATAGAAGGATGTTTCTACCTTGGAAAGGAACAGCAAACATCACACTTAATATTCCTGTTAAAATTACAAATGAGACAAAGATGGCCAAAACACTGCTCTTGGCGAATCTCAGGGCCTTACTAATACCATACAGTAAGAAATAAAATGTGTAGAAACGAAAACGGAAGACTCAAAAGTTATCTGCAGGTGACATATAGTCGACTTAAAAATTCCAACTGAAGCAACTAAAAGACTATTAGGATGCATGAGAATTCGGCAAGTCGGCTGGATGCAAAGGTTAAATACTCATGTTTTGGAAAAGAAAAAACATCCCATTCACGACAGCAACATCTAGAAAAACCTACTCTAGCCTAGGCAATATGGCAAAACCCCATCTCTACTAAAACTACAAAAAATTAGCCAGGCGTGGTGGTACATGCCAGTAGTCCCAGCTACTCAGGAGGCTGAGGTGGGAGAATCACTGAGCCTGGGAAATTGAGGCTGTAGTGAGCCCTGATGGCATCACAGCACTCCAGCCTGGGCGATGGGTCTCAAAAAAACACAAAAAACACAAAAAGCCTATAGGCGCAGTGGCTCATGCCTGTAATCCCAGCACTTTGGAAGGCCCAGGCAGGAGGATCACTTATTTGACACCAGTCCGGACAACACAGGGAGACCCAGTCTCTAAAAAAAACAAACAAATTTACAATACACTTTCCCCATCTTGTTCATGGCTATGTAGCAAGAGTTTAGAGATAAGTAAAGCAGCTATTGCCACGCGTACCATACAGGCATCTGCGTCCTCCTGCCCCTGTTTCCCATCCACCAGCCCACCATACAGACAGTGAAGACACAGACTTCGGCCCCTCTTTGCCGGACATAAGCTCTGGAAGGTAACAGAGTGAGCATCGCAGAGGGCCTCGGTTCAAGGTCTAAACAGTCTCTCCCGGAAGGGAAAAAAACCTGAAAGACGCCTCCTAAGAGGACTGCAGTTTGAAATCGTCACTGAAAGCAGTCAATACTTTTGCAATTTTAAAAAAGCACAGACACAGAGGATTGGAAATCCCGTGTCCGCCAGAACAAGTTATGTGACTCTGCTCAAGCTCCCTGGCCTGTCTGTGCCTCGGCTTTTTCATTAGCTATAAAACGCGTACGACCTGAAGCTGAGATAACGCACGAACAGTAGGGACGCAATGCCTGGTTGGCGGTGGGCGCTGGGTAACCGCTAGTCCTAACAAGCAGGCGGCGTTAGGAGCTGGTCCCTTCCCGCTTCGAACCGCCTGCTCCAGTCCCTCGCAGGGCTGACACCGCTCGTGCCCGGGGCGGATGCCGGACAGCGGAACCGTGTTGTCCCCCAGCAGGGGAAGGTCACGCGACCGGGACTCGGGAGATCCGGGCTCCGCCTGCGAGCCTCGGTTTTCTCCTCTACGAGACAGGGCCGCAGCCGGTTACCTAAGGAGGGGCCCCGCCGGGAGGGGCTGGGGGTCGGGCTCGCGCTGCGCCTCCTCGGGGCCTCGGGCTTGCGGCTCCGGCGGCGCGGGCCCATGGCGCGCCGCGGAGAGTGCTGGCGCCCGGCCCCACGGCTCCTGCTTGGGCTGCCGGGTCCAGGGACAAAAGGCTGGCGTCTGGGTAGGCTCGGAGAGCCCTGGACCGCGAGCCTTAGAGGAGCCGGTGCTTAACCACGTTCCGCGCCGCTCGCGTTCAAATCGCTCGCTCCGCCCACTTCACCGCCCGCGTTTTTTAAAACCCGAATCCAGCGACTCTCAGTGGCTGACTCTGGAACGCCCCTTACGTAGAGCGACTGCGGATAGGACCAATGAGAGTACTGGCCGAGACACAAACGGCGGCGGTGATAGCAGGCCAGCGGGGACTAATGGTGAAATCAGCCAATAGGCACTTAAAGAAGTGAGATGGGGCGGGGAATTCTCCTGCTCTCTGCTTGCTGATCTGGGTGCTGGCCTTTGCAGGACTGTACTGATGTCCTCAGGTGCCCTTCGGTCAAAACACCGATGCTCAGTTTGGAACGTGGATGGTGCGTTTGCAGAACGTGCTTCTCTAGACAAGTCACTTTCCTCAAACATTTTATGTTTTGCCCTAGCAACCCAGACCCACCCCATGTCGCGTCTGCGGCCCTCCGGGGAATTATCCACGTATATACTCAGAAGCCAGTTCAACTGCATGAACTTGGCTGATGCTTGGGGTCGCGGGGACGCCGGGATCGGAGGGGCTTTGAGGATGAGATCCGTGCAGGGCAGGCCTCGGCACTATAGCAACGCAATCGTCCCAGAAAAACCCTTTCTCCTCTTTGTTGGGGATAATAAAAATTCAAGTCATGTTCCTGTATGTGGAATAAGGGGAATTTAAATTTTCTAAATTTTCTTTCTTGAATTTTCTAAATGTTCTACAGTGAACGTGTACTGTCTGTAATCAGGAAAAACGTTAGTTATAAAATTAGTGATTTCATGGAAACCTGGTGCATTGCTGGTGGGAGTGTAAAATGCTGCGGCTGCTGTGAAAAACAGTATTAGTGGTTCCTCAAAAAATCAAAAATAGAATTACGAGATGATCCAGTAATTCCACTTCTGGCTAAATATCCAAAAGAATTTAAATACAGCCAGGGACTTGAACAGATATTCCCACACCCATGTTGATAGCAGCATTCTTCACAACAGCCCAAAGGCAGAAACAGCCTTAAAAAGGAAGGGAATTCAGGAGGCTGAGGCAGGAGAATTGCCTGAACCCAGGAGGCGGAGGTTGCGGTGAGCCGAGATTGCGCCATTGCACTCCAGCCTGGGTAACAAGAGCGAAACTCCGTCTAAAAAAAAAAAAAAAAAAAAAAAAAAGGAAGGGAATTCCGACGGGTGCTGCAACATAGATGAACCTTGAGGACATTATGCTAAGTTTAAGGCAGTCACCAAAGGACAAATGCTGGGCCCGGGTGCGATGGCTCACACCTGTAATCCCAACACTTTGGGAGGCCAAGGCGGATCACCCGAGGTCAGGAGTTCAAGACCAGCTTGGTCAACATGGTGAAACCCTGTCTCTATGAAATATATAAAAATTAACCCAGCTTGGTGGCAGGCGCCTGTAATCTCAGCTGCTCGGGAGGCTGAGGCAGGAGAATCGCTTGAACCCAGGAGGGGGAGGTTGTAGTGAGCTGAGATCATGCCATTGCCCTCCAGCCTGGGTGCCATCTCAAAAAAAAAAAAGAAAAAAAATCCCAAGTAGGGGATGTGTGCCTCTTGCCCCAGCTACTCAGGAGGCTGAGGTGGGAGGATGCTTGAGCCCAGGAAGTTGAGGCTGAACTGAGCCATGATTGTGCTGCTGCACTCCAGTCTGGGCAACACAGTGAGACCCTGTCTTAAAAAAAAAAAAAAAAAAAAAAGGACAAATACTGTATGAGGTACTTGGAATAATCAAACTCATAGAGACAGAAAGTAAAATGGTGGTTGCCAGTGAATGGGGGTTTGGGGGAGGAATGGGGAGTTAGTATTTCATAGGTGCAGAGTTTTAGTTTGAGAAGATGAAAAATTCTGGACATGGATGGTGGTGATGGTTATACAGCACTGTGAATGCACTTAAAGCCTGAACTGTACACTTAAAACTGGCCAGTGGTAAATTCTATGTTGTGTGTCTGTGTGTGTGTATATATATAAATATAAATAAATAAATATATATATTTCCCCCACACAGGGTCTTGTACTGTTGCTTAGGCTTGAGTGTGGTGGTGCAATCACAGCTCACTGCAGCCTTGAACTGCTGGACTCACACAGTCCTCTCACTTTAGCCTCCTGAGTAGCTGGGACTAACAGGAATGCACCATCACACATGGCTAATTTTTTTTTTTAATGGGGCTTTCTGGCAAAAACTGGAAAGCCTGCTAGACAAATTCTAAAAAGAGCTATAACCATACTCGGCTAATTTTTTTAAAAAACATTTTGTAGGCCGGGCTCACGTCTGTTAGCCTAGCACTTTGGGAGGTCAAGGTGGGCAGATCACATGAGGTTAGGAGTTGAGGTCAGAGACCAGTCTGGCCAACATGGTGAAACCCCATCTCTACTAAAAATACAAAAATTATCCAGGTGTAGTGGCTCATGCCTGTAGTCCCAGCTACTTTGGAGGCTAAGGCATGAGAATCATTTGAACCCAGGAGGCAGAGGCTGGAGTGAGCCATGATCAAGCCACTGCACTCCAGCCTGGGTGACAGTGACAGAGTGAGATCCTGTCTCAAAAAAAAAAAAAAGGTCACCAAATGGTATTTTGAGAGTATGCAATAGAATAATGCATGAAAAAAAGTAATAGTAAAGGCACACAGCCATGGTCTGAGGTAGAAATGCAAACCTCTTGTGCAGGTTTGAACTGTGATGGAGGTGTTGACTGAAAGGAAGATGCGCTTGTTGAAAGCCATTGCTATGTATTATAAACCATTGTGGATAAGACATGTGCCATGAGGAAGGAGCTGGAACCTCCTTGGTGGAGGCAGTTTAAGTTGTGGGTATTTGAGAACCTTCCTCAAAAAGGTGAAGAATAATCACAGTGATTGGGAAAGATTTGGAAAGGTGGAGGGAAGAAGAGAGAGAGGTGTACAGTGTGCCAAGCAGAGGTCACAGGCTGAGAGGAGGTAAGATGGTGCAGGTCTTCTGGAGAACAGAGCTTATCCTGTTTGGCTAAATGTAGGTGATGAGGGTTCCGTGACCTCCAGAGAAGGTGGATGGAGAATGTAGGGTGAGGGGCTTGGTAGAGCTGGTGGGCTCTCAGGAAAGTCACTGCACTTGGCTGAGCCACAGGTTCATTTCATATACACACGCACATATATATTTATTATTCTGTGTGTGTGTGTGTGTGTGTGTGTGTGCGTGCGCGTGACAGGGTCTTGCTTTGTCACCCAGGCTGGAGTACAGGGGTGCAATCATGGCTCACTGCAGCCTCGATTTTTAGGCTCAAGCTGTCCTCCCATCTCAGCGTCCTGAGTAGCTGGGACTTCAGGTGAATGGTTAGCCGAGATTGTACCACTGCACTGTAGCCACGGCTACAGAGTGAGACTCCATCTCAAAAAAACAAAACAAAACAAAGTCAATGGGGAAAAATAGTTGCAAGAACAAGGGCTTGGTCAACTGTGTCAACTGCTCCTGCTGAGAGGTCAAGAAGGATGAATGCAGTGTAACCACATTTGGCTTTGCTTCCTACTGGCTGTTGGTGATCTTGGAACAAGCTGTTCAAATGGAGTGATGCAGATGGAAACCAGAGTGGAGTGGATTAAAGAGAGGCTGGAGGTGAGGGAATAGACATAGGGAGTGCAGAAAATTCTTCAAGACATGGGAGCAGAGGAATGGGAGCTGTGGAGTGCAAGGAAGGACTGGCTTTTGACAGGTAAAGGGAGGCGAATCCAGGCTAAGGATCCAGATACAGGTGTGTGTGTGAACTGAAGGAGATTTGCTCGATTGCTTCTGGGAGGTGGAGGCTGCAGTGAGCTATGGTCATGTCACTGGACTCCAGCTTGGGTGACAGAGCAAAACCCTGTCTCAATTGAAAATTACCAAAAAAAAAAAGGGCTTAGTACATTGGAAATGGGGACTCAGAAGCTTGGGGTATAGTTCCAGCTCTGTCACTTACTAGCTGGTTACTAGTGGAATGTTGAATAAAGCTCTTTACTCCTCTAGGACTCAGTCCTTTATCTATATGACAGTGATAATAATGCCGGCCACACAGGGTGGTTATATAATGAAATGAAAAATTTTAAAATCACCATCTAGAATCACTGTTTAGGAAAGCGCTTTGGAAATTTAACCCTTCCCTTGACTTCTTTGGTGTTTCCCCTTGCTGGTAACAGGCTGAAGGAGATGTGTTTGCTTTGAATATGCAGTGGGGGAGAGTGTGAAAAAAGCAATTAAGAAAAGGATTCTGTTGGTGGCATGAAGGGAAAATGCATGAAGAGAAAGGGAGAACTCTCGCATTGAGCCTGTGCCTAACTCCTTGTCGCTCTTGGGTAAAGACAAAAAGCAGTTGCCAAGGCTGGGTGTGGTGGCTCACGCCTAATCTCAGCACTTTGGGAGGCTGAGGCGGGTGGATCACCTGAGGTTAGGAGCTCAAAACCAGCTTGGCCAACATGGCGAAACCCTGTCTCTACTAAAAATACAAAAATTAGAGGGCACACTGGTGCCGCGTCTGTAATCCCAGTTACTCAAGAGGCTGAGGCAGGAGAATCACTTGAACCTGGGAGGCAGAGGTTGCAGTTAGCCAAGACTGTGCCACTGCACTCCAGCCTGGGTGACAGAGCAAGACTGTCTCAGCCAGGCGCGGTGGCTCACGCCTGTAATCCTAGCACTGTGGGAGGCTGAGGTGGGTGGATCACCTGAGGTCAGGAGTTCAAGACCAGCCTGGCCATCATGGTGAAATCCCACCTTTAAAAAAAAAAAAAAAAAAAAAAAAAAAAGACTGTCTCAAAAAATAAAACATAAAATGACAAGGGGCCTGGATCTAAGTCACAGGTTTTGCTGAGGGATAAGACTTGTCGCCCTTTGATCTTGGGCTGCTCGTCTCTGCTGCTCAGCTTTCCTGAGAGGACTTCTTGTGGGAACCTTCCTTAGCCTGTGTAGAAGGAGATCAGCTATTTAGATTCTTCCCTTAGACCTCTGGGTAATGAGGATAGGTGAAAGGAACAGCAGATCAGGAGCCAATGGCCACAAACTTCAAGAACTGGTTGGAAAACGGCCCAGCTTCCTGGTTAGGCTATACATTCTGGTCAGCATTAGATATTCTCCTCACCCCAAACCTCTTGGGGTTTTGTTTTGCTTCTTTCCCTGATAGTCCCTCTCAGGCAGCAAACATATGGCTGCTCATTCTGTGCTCAGTGCCATAGGACACTCCAAGGAGGGAGATACAAGAGCTGGGGCCCCTAGGAGCTTGGTTAGGCTGGGGCCACAAATCTGTTGCTAGAAATTGATTTCCCTTAGGATCTCTAAAATCCATGTTCCACAAGCTTCCCTGGTGATAGCAGTCATCTGGGTGTTGGTTAAACACCCATGTATCTAGGACACCTGATTGAGGAGGTCTGGGTGAGACCGCCTCAATCATGCAAGGCTCTGATGATTTTAAGTTGGCTAATCAAAATGTCCTTGAGTGAATGAGTTTTTCCAACCCTACCTTCTCTATCCACTTCACACAGAAACTTTCTCAATGCAAGAGCCTTTAAGTGAAAATTGATTTTGTTTGTTTGAGATGGAGTCTTGCTCTGTTGCCCAGGCTGGAGTGCAGTGGCACAATCTCAGCTTACTACAAGCTTGCCTCCTGGGTTCAAGCAATTCTCCTGCCTCAGCCTCCTGAGATGCATGCCACCATGACCAGCTATTTTTTTTCTTTTTGTATTTTTAGTAGAGACAGGGTTTCACCATGTTGGCCAGGCTGGTCTCGAACCCCTGACCTCAGGTGATGGCCTCTCAAAGTGCTGGGATTACAGGTGTGAGCCACTGCAACCCACCAAAAATTGATTTTTTTGAAACCCAACTATTCACAGCTTATGTTGAATTGCTTTACTCATTAATTATATTCAGAATTGCTGAGCTGCCTGCAGGCAGGGTGAGGAGATATAGATAAGATTCAGTTTCTGCCCTTAAGGAATTTTTGGTCAGGCACTCAGATCATTATTTTCATGAAGGATGCATTCTTAAAAACCTAAAAAAGTCAAATATGCTAAAGTTAAATGCTAGAATTACAGATGGGTTTCATTTCCAGGGAGCTAAATGATACCAAATCCTAATGACATCTTGCCTTTTAGACAGTATTTGTGGATCTGTCTCCCACATGTCATTAATACTCAGTCCTCCACATTGCATACACGGTGCCTGGCTTCAGTATCTTGACTGAAGTGTGGAAGGTTCCCTTGTCTTCACACACCTAAGGACTGCCGTCTTCCGTCAATTGTATTATTAATGAGATTGGTATTTATCACCAAATAGCATTTTCATTTTACCCTCATTTTTTTTTACCCCATTTTGCAGATAATCCCTCTTCTCATTTTTATACAAACAGGCAAAAGGCATTAAAACATTCAGATAATGCCATAAGGTTTATGTGATAGGAATGTTCCTCATCAGCTGAGGTCCACAGCCCAGATTTTCAGTACAGAAAAGGCAGTTTGAGACACCAGCTGAAGCAGCATGCTTGAGTAATTGTTTACAAATTCCTGCAGAACTAGGAATCACACCCATGTCTCATTGAGTCCCACATGGTGCTGTGGCAATCAGGAGTCACACACCAACTGCCAAGGCCTATGCCTTTGGGTGTCTGTTTCTGGGTGCACTGTTAGCAGAGTCAGTCTCATCCTCACCAGCTGGCACCCTGCGCCTCACATACCCTTAGCGGTTTGCTCTATATCCTCACTGACCTCATAGTTTACTCAGCGTCCCCCGGACAAGCCCCCACACTTGCTAGCATACTGTATATGACCAAGTACAGAATTAATATCTTATCTGCAAAATACTACTTTGGACACATCTCTGTCCACTAAAGTGATCTTTTGTCTTTATCCTCCCCTGACTCCTTTTTGTGAATCAATTTCTCATTTATAAAACAGTTTCCGCTGGGCATGGTGGCTCATGCCTGTAATCTCAGCACTTTGGGAGGCTGAGGCAGGCGGATCATTTGAGGTCAGGAGTTTGAGATCTGTCTGACCAACATGGTGAAACCCCATCTCTATTAAAAATACAAAAAAATTAGCCAGGGGTGGTGGTGCATGCTTATAGTTTCAACTACTTGGAGGCAGAGGCAGGAGAATCACTTGAACCCGGAAGGCAGAGGTTGCGGTGAGCCAAGATCGCGCCACTGCACTCCAGCCTGGGCAACAGAGCAAGACTCTGCCTCAGATAAATAAAAATAAATGTTTCCAAAGTGCCCTGGTAACTCTGGCTTATCATATAGCCCTTATTATACAGCCATGTATATATAACAAAGGCATTATATAGTTCCCATGCTTAAGAATGGGGATATGCTGTGTGCAACTGTTAGACGATTTTGTCATTGTGGTATCGTAAAGTGTGCTTACACAAACCTAGAGGGTATAAGGTACTGCACACCTTGGCTATATGGTATATAGCCTATTGCTCCCAGGCTACACACCTGTGCAGCATGTTCCTGTACTGAATATTGTGGACAACTGTAACACAATGGTATTTGCGCATGTAAACATAATCTAACCTAGAAAAGGTACAGTAAAAAAATAGTGTAAAAAATGGGCTGGGTGTACTGGCTCACCCCTGTAATCCTAACACTTTGGAAGGCCAAGGCAGGAGCATTGTTTGAGCCCAGTGGTTTGAGATCAGTCTGGGCAATGCGGTGAGATCCTATCTCTGCAAAAAAAAAAAAAAAAAAAAAAAAAAATAGCTGGGCATGGTGGCGCATTCCCTGTAGTGAAAGCTACTTGGGAGGCTGAGGCGGGAGGATCGCTTGAGCCCAGGAGTTTAAGGCTATAGTGAGATAGGATCATGCCACTGCACTCCAGTGACAGCAACAGAGCAAGACTGTCTCTAAAAATTTTCCTTTTTCAATAATAAATTAACCTTATCTTAATATAACTTTTTAACTTTATAAGCTTAACTTTAAAATGTTTGACTCTTTTGTAATAACACTTAGCTTAGACACATTGTACAGCTATACAAAAACAATTTTTCTTTTTATCTTTATTCTTAAGCTTTTTTTTTGAGATATTCATTCTCACCCAGGCTGGGGTGCAGTGCCATGACCTCAGCTCACTGCACACCTCCCGAGAAGCTGAGATCACAGGATTGTGCTATCACGCTTGGCTTATTTTTGTCTGTTTAGCAGAGATGGGGTTTGGCCATGTCAGCCAGGCTGGTCTTGAACTCCTGACCTCAGGTGACCCACCTGCATCAGCCTCCCAAAGTGCTGGGATTACAAGTGTGAGCCACTGCACCCAGCCTCTGGCTGCACTATCTGTGGCAGAATGGGACAGGTAAGACTGAGAACCAGGACATCTGGCTTTTGCCTGTAACTGGCGGTGTGACCCTGGGGAAGTTCTTTCCCCTTTTTGGGTTTTAGTTTCTTCATCTGAACAATAAATGGAAGACTAGGCAACTGGTATGCTTTTCATACATTAGAGAGTTTTTCCATACCAACATTCTAGAAGCTAGCTCCAGATACCCTCTTGTCCCCTTCTCTTTCATGAAAAAAGTCCAATACTGTTGACATAGTTTGGATGTGTGTCCCTACCCAAATCTCGTATTGGAATGTAATCCCCAATCTCAGAGGTGGGGCCTGGTGGGAGGTGACTGGATCATGGGGGCGCATTTCTCATAAATGGTATAACATCATCCCACTTGGTACTGTCCTCTTGAGAGTGAGTTCTTGTGAGATCTGGTTGTTTAAAAAGTGTGTAGCACCTCCTGCAGAACTGTGAGCCAATGAAACCTTTTTTCTTTATAAAGAATTACCCAGTCTCTGGTATTTCTTTATAGCAATGTGAGAATGGACTAATACCACTGCCAATTTTCCTTTTCTTTTCTTAAAAAATAAAGTCCAAAATAACACTCTAAGATCCCAGGTTTTACACAAGGCAGTTGTAATCTCTCCATCATCCTCACTGTCCACTTCTTTCTTTCTGGGCTAGACACTGTGTCAGAGAAGCTCAGGGGACCCTGGGATTCAAAGCTGGTGGAATGGACCCTCCCTCCCCCCAACAAGCTATAATAACCTGCTGGAATCCCACACAACCTGAGGGCTTCACTTGTCAACAGCTCTGCATTTGGTGTTTTGTTTATGACTGAGTTGCCCAGGAAAATGGCTTGAGGCTGCACTCAACTGTTTCAAGGAGCAGCACTGGAAAGAGGCTGCTCAGTTCCCTGCGGTTCCTGATGCCACCCCTTCTCTTCAGGGTAAGGTTACCTAGAGGACAACAGTACATGAGGCTTCCAGCCCAGCCCTAAGAGATCCATCCCAAAGACTCCACAGAGACCAGCATGAGAAGTGGGGCCACAGGTCGGTGTCAGGCAAACCTAGGTTGGAATACTGGCTCCATGAGGAAGTCACCTAACCTTCTCTGGGGCACAGGTTCTTCATCTGTCCCTACCTCTGAAGGCTGTTCTCAGACAGAATGAAAGTTAAGCTACTTAACACAATGCCCAGGATGCCAGAATTACTCTAAATGGTGGAATCCTGGGGAATCTGTCATTTTGGGGGTTCTCTAGGCAGGCAGTTTGCCAGGGGTGGGGCTGAGATCCAGATGTGCTCTAGGTCCCAGTCTGCTGCAGAATCATGTGGCTGCTGGAACTGAGGCTCCCCCAGGACCTTGTAGGACCTGAGGGTAAAAGATCCATTTGCCAAACAACCTAGAACTTTGGGCCTCAGTTTCCTTGTCTTTAAGTAGCAGGTAGAGTTCATAAAAACAATTAACACAGGCTGCCTGCAATTCCCCTGTAATATCTCCCAGTCAGGGGAGGCCTCAGAGGTGAGAGTGAGGACAGGAAAACAGGGACAAGTGTGATGGCTCTGGCCTGTAATCCCAACACTTTGGGAGGCCAAGATGGGAGGATCACTTGAGGCCAGGAGTTTGAGATCAGCCTGGGCAACACAGTGAGACCCATCTCTGCAAAAAAAAAAAATAAAACAATAAACGAGGCATGGTGGTACATATTTGTTAGTCTTAACTACTTGGGAGGCTGGGGCAGGAGGACTGATTGAGCCCAGGAGTTTTAGGCTGCAGTAAGCTGTGCATGGGTGACAGAACAAGACTCTTAAAAACAAAAAACAAAAAAAACTTAGCACAGGAGGGAGGGGCTGTGGGTAGAGGGGTATTTCCAGTGGATGGGCTATTACTGTTTTCTCAGGTTGGTCAAGATCACAGGCCCATGGAATGCTGGGGCCAGAAAGCACTAAGGCCACAGCATCAACATCTACTTCCCAGAGCATAACATCAAGGCCCAGAGCAATTAGGTAATGTGCGTGAGTTTGAGGGAGAGTCTGGGTTAAAACCCAGATATCCAGACAGGTTTAGGGAGGATTTTAGAAGTTTTAGAAAACATAATGCTTAGTTCTGGCCGGGCATGGTGGCTCACACCTGTAATCCCAGCACTTTGGGAGGCTGAGGCAGGCAGATCATCTGAGGTCAAGAGTTCGAGACCAGCCTGGCCAACATGGTGACACCCCATCTGTACTAAAAATACAAAAATTAGCTAGGTGTAGTGGTGTCTGTAATCCCAGCTACTTGGGAGGCTGAGGCAGGAGAATCACTTGAACCCAGGAAGCAGAGGTTCTAGTGAGGCAAGATTGTACCACTGCACTCCAGCCTGAGTGACAGAGTAAAACACTGTCTCTCAAAAAAAAAAAAAAAAAAGAAAGAAAAAAGAAAACATAATGCTTAGTTCTGGTTTAAATTTGCTCACTGACTTTTCTTCTTTGGAGAATCAAATCTAACTGTGACTCATAAACTAGATAATTATGGTAGTCTAGTTTATGATTCAGACGCTAGGGTTGTAAATTCCTACAATTCAACTTCGTAATTTAGCTCTAGTGCTGTAGGAGGGGGCCCAGAGCTGGGGTCTGTCACTGCACTCAGGCCTTTGGGGGCTGGGTAACACTACCCTGCAGGTGGTGGTGAGAAAAAGAGGATTGGGTGTTGTTCTGTAGGGAGGGGATAGGGCAAGGCCTTGGGGACAGGGCACTGGAGGTCCACCAGCCTGTGTGGCCTTAGTCTCAGGGTGGAGCACCCAGGTGGCAGTAGAAGCCTCTAGGGAAGCTCAGCTGGTATCATTGATGGGAGTCCGGGTGCCACCCAGTAGTCTTTCCTGCTCGCTCTCCTCTGCCGGGGGCCGGCCCCTAGACAGGCGGCCCAGAAGCGGTCGGTGCAACCCATTGTAGAGGGCGGTGCCCATAAGGAGTATGAGGAAGCCAAGGATCTGCAGTGCATGGAAGGCCTCCCAACCCAGTGCCAGGCTCAGTGCCCAGATGACAACAGTGCGCAAGCTGTCCAACACCATTCGGGTGGTGGCGCTCAGTTCCTTGGTGACGCTGATGCCTGCAAAGTTGAAGAAGGCGATGCTGCTGATGTTGCCCAGCAGTGCCATGGCAATGAGCGGCTGCCGGCCCACCTGGCAGAAGGCGTCCAGCGCATCCTCCAGTGTCCCACGAGGGTTCCCGCTGAAGGAGCCGGCGGGGATGTAGTACATGGGCACCAGCAGCAGGGAGAGGATCACGAAGCCAAAGAGGCCTGGGGAGTAGAGGAAACAGTTACACGCTCGCCATCCCCCGAGTACGGCCCACCAGCTCAGCCTCCTCTGATCTTGGTCACTCCTTCCCAGGGGTCCTTAAGCCGGCTCCCTCCTTTCACATCCCTCAGCCTCTCATCAGGAGCTTGTGGCCTATTATATGGGTTCCAGCTGACCCTTCTCCACTTTCACTTAGGATCAAGAGTAAGAAATACATTTTATTTTGTGACCCAGTACATGTGTTCACATGAACACAGGTTCACGGACACACACATACTCATGAAAACATAACTACCCTTATAGTATACAATGCTCTGATATTTTAAAATTCTATTCATCTAAAAACAGAACTACCAGCTGCAACGGACTACATTATTTTCACAAGTTTGTAAAAACACAGCTTTCTAGTTCAGTGTGTTACTGGTCTCTGACAAGGAGCTTGCGCCAGAAGGTAAGTCTATGCATTGCTTCATTCATTAAGGTCTGGCTTGAAAATAGAAATGAGTGGAAATAGACAGCATGCTCGGTGACATAGCTGATTCACATTCTGCCTAAGCTCCTCAGCTCACTGGGGGCCAGACAAGAGCTGCTCCCCAACAGGTACTAGCCCCCAGGCCATTCTTTGAAAGCACAGCTCTGTCTTGCTAATCTCATCATTTTGATAGTTACTTCCCTGCTCAAAAACTTTCAGTGATTCCTCCCTGCCTGTCATTTAAAGTCTAAATCTACTTGCCTGATGGTAAGGTTCTCTAATGACATGACCTGACCCTACTTAATTCCTCATTATTTCCCCAACATTAAACCTATATTGCAGTCAAATTATTATTATTATTTTTTGGGACAGAGTCTTGCTCTGTTGTGTAGGCTGGAGTGCAGTGGCACGATCTCAGCTCACTGCAGCCTCCACTCCCCTGGGTTTAAGAGATTCTCCTGTCTCAGCCTCCTGAGTAGCTGGGACTACAGGCAACCACCACTATGCCTAACTAATTTTTTATTTTTAGTAAAGATGGGGTTTTGCCATGTTGGCCAGGCTGGTTTCAAATTCCTTACCTCAAGTGATCCACCTCCCTCCACCTCTCAAAGTGCTGGGATTACAGGCATAAGTTACCATTCCCAGCTGCACTGAAATTATTCCTTACTGATTTTCAAATTCATGTCTAGCCCCCCGTGCCTTTGCTCTGTTTGGACTTCCCTGTTCCTACTACTGCCTGTTGAAATGTGCAGCTCGCACTTTGGGAGGCCGAGGCGGGTGGATCACAAGATCAAGAGATCGAGACCATCCTGGTCAACATGGTGAAACCCCGTCTCTACTAAAAATACAAAAAATTAGCTGGGCATGGTGGCATGTGCCTGTAATCCCAGCTACTTGGGAGGCTGAGGCAGGAGAATTGCCTGAACCCAGGAGGCGGAGGTTGTGGTGAGCCGAGATCACGCCATTGCACTCCAGCCTGGGTAACAAGAGCAAAACTCTGTCTCAAAAAAAAAAAGAAATGTGCAGCTCGAATGCCACCCTGCCTGTCCTGAGAGACTCAGACAGCCATGATCAATGAGACATCAGTTGAGCACAAGTGGTCCAAGCTTAAATTCACTGACTGCCCTTTCTTCCTGCTGGTCACCTCCTCTGAAGGGCTTGCATTTCATTCATCTCTGTCCTTGGTCTCCTCTAGCTCCTGGCACAGCAGGGGTCAGAATATTTGTCAGAATACATCTGGAAGACAAGTTGGGGGCAGGAAGTTCACCACCCCCTCCGCCGCCCAGTGAACCCTGGAACCTTGTCCTATGCTCTGCTCCCCATGTTCTCTTCCACCCAGCTCCTTCCAGGTCCCTGTTTCCATACACACCCTCAGTGCCAACTGCTCGCAGTGGGTGCACGTTGTGTTTGTAGACGAACTTCTCCTCTAGCACCATCTGGATGGCGACGATGATCTGGGCCATGATGATCAACAGGTCCCCTGTAGGGAAGGAGGGACCCAGATGAGACCAGGGCTGCACTGGGGCTGGGGGCCAGGAAAGCATGGCCACAGGGACACAACATGCCAGCCCCTGATCTCTGCAGGACCCCCTATAGTTCACAGGCAGAGCCAACACTGCCTGTCCCTGATCCCCTGGTCCCTGAGGGGCAGGCCAACAGTGCTGGGCTGAGGCCCCAAAGGCCTGCCTGTGTCTGAGAGCTGCCCCACAGGGTGAGATGCAGGTCTTTCAAGAAGCAGCAGGCTTTAAGACATTTCTTGGTTGATCCTGACCCTGAGTGACCCAGGACGGTCACTTCATTGTAAAATGGGCTGTGATGCATCCCTTCAGGGCCTGTGGGGGTCACTGTGATGATGAACACACAGTGCTCAGCACTAGGCTGGGCACTTGGTAAGTGCTCAATAAGCACCCATTCCTTTCCACAACGAAATCCAGTAGTTTGCATGTCTGCCTCTGTATCAAAGGACAAGCCAGCCTCTCACCCTCCCTGACCTGCCACTCTTCCTTGGTGCAGCCCACATCCCTCTGCAGTCTTCCCTACATTCTATCCATCACCTCCAGGGCTACCCCCCTCACCCAGGGCTTGGCATATTGCATATGGCAGAGCCTGTATGAGTCTGTGCTGGGCTCCCAAGGAGGACTGGGCAGGATAGGGCAGCCCCATGTCCCTGCCCCTGGCCGCACCTGTGATCACTTCGCTGAGCTTGTGCTGACTGTCATGCTTGCTCAGGAGGTCAGCCAGGCCCACGACCACCAGCCCTGCGATGGTGGTGAGGATGCCCAGCCACTGGCTCAGCAGCAGCCTCCGGCCCAGGAAGGCCACCGAGAATAGGCCAGTGAATATGATCACTGCACCCCGAAGCATCTGGAAGCTGGAGGCACTGGTCATGTTCAGAGCTAGGAGAGGAGAAACGAATGACAGTTAGCTTCTGAAGGCAAAGGCTATCTGTCACTAAGGAGTTTTCGGGGATGGAGGCATGCCGAGCTACTACTAAGTGCTCGATCAGTCCTGCCTGTGATCCTGTGCATGTGAAGTCTGGGCGAATGGTGGGATGAAGTGGAGGCGGGTGAGATGGGGCTGTTTCATCAGTAGCCCCTTCAGCCACAGCCTCCAGAGCCCTTCTCAGCCTGGCCTGGTTACTCACCCACATACATGATGCTGGTCCCTGTCATGTCACAGAGTGCTGGAGGCAGGAAAAGAAGGGGGTTGAAGGGCTGCTGGGGGTCCACGCTGGAGTCTGATTGCCCTGCAGCTCTGCACCGGAGGAGGTAGAAGGCAGCCAGGCAGGAGAATTCCCCCAGGAACATGCCCACTGCCTGCAGGGATGAAAATCCGAGGACTTCAGAGCTGGAAGGGACCTTGGGGATCATCTTTGACTATTTTTTTTAATGCAAACTTTTGTCAAGCAAGAGCTTACCCATAACTCCAACATGTATAATAGACAAATGCAGAGCTGCCGTGGAGGCCAGAGACTGCCTCCCAGGTCCACCCCAAAGACCCCATACATCCTGACGAACCCTAAGGCTGTGCAGAACCCTTTCTGAAAACAACCTGTCTAGGCCAAATTGCAGGTGGAGAAATGCAACAGAGGCTCAAAGACTTATGTAAGGCCACCAAGCAAGTTGCTGGTAGAGCCGGAGCTGACATTTGAGTCTCCTGATTCTCAGTTCAACAAATAGTGTCTTCCATTTATGGTGTCTGCCCTGTTCCAATTGCGGTCTGGGCTCTCAGGGGATAGAGAGCTGACTTTAGTCACTAGGGCTGATGTTTTCCACGTATCCTGACTTGGATGTGGTGAGGACATGACCACTTGCCAGGACTTTCACAGAGGATGGTGTTCTTTGCCCTCTTCTAAACCTTGGATTCTGCTTTGGGAAGGGAGAGAGAAAAGCAGATGGCTCTTTTGGGAGCAGGAGAAGGCTCTACTTCTAGATCAGGAAACAGCCTGGCCATGGTGGGGGTGCCTGGTCTAAGCCCCGGGAAATAGGAGGTAGGAGGGACAGGGCTAGATACCTGGAGGAAGGGATGCTGGAAGCTGTGCTCTTTGCTCCCTCCGCAGCCCTCGGCCATGAAGTTGTCTGCCCATCTGTAGGAGAGACAAGGAGGGTCAGACCCTGGCGGCATTCTGCCCTGGTGCTAGTGAAGAGGCTCACACCTCCTAATTGGGTGACTCGGCCCCAGAGTGGGACTACCTCTCAAAGGGGCCAGTCTCCACATCAAGGAGTTTTAACTTGGCATTTCCTCCAGTTACTGTGTCTGTGCCTCTGTAATGCACAGAAATCATAGATACCCTCATGTCATTATAGTCACTGTATACATTGTGAGGTACCATTTACACTCATCGCTCATGAAAATTACAGTAGTCAGACCCACTTATAACTTAATGTAGTAGAAAGCATATCTATATACCTGGGCGTAGTGGCTTATGCCTGTAATCCCAGCACTTTGGGAGGCTGAGGTGGGTGAATCACTTGAGGTCAGGAGTTTGAGACCAGCTTGGCCAACATGGTGAAACCCTATCTCTATTAAAAACACAAAAATTAGCCAGGCGTGAGGCGGAGGCTGCAGTGAGCCAAGATTATACCACTGCACTCCAGCCTGGGTGACAGAGCAAGACCTTATCTTAAAAAGAAAAAAGCGTATCTATATCACTATAAAACAAATATGCTTTTTTAAGTATTATATAACTGTATTTCCATTTAATTACTTCTTTTGTAATCCTTGGTCTTTTTATTTACACGTTTTAAAACATTACTGTAAGAAGAGGTCCATAGGCTATGCCAGACTGTCAAAGGGTCCCACGGCATGAAAAATATCAAGAAGTTCTGGTCTACAGGATTATCTGGGCCCTGGGAAATGACCACCTAATACAGCCACCTGCTTACCTTCAAAGCACCTGAATAGTTTGGAAGATCTTTCTAATGCTGACTTTCAAGCAGGTGGCAGACATCATACTCATGATGCTACCTCCCAGTCAGCACCTGGCAGATGGTAATAACTGATTATGACATACTTCCCCAATAAGCCCAGAATCCTCTGTGGCATAGAGCTTTGGGCAGCTTAACCACCAATCACTCTCAACTGTCTGCCATCTGTCCATGAACATTCCTTCTCTTGAATTTCATCTTTGCTGGGCTTGGTTAGTTCTGTGGAGTCTGGTCTAATCCTTCATTTGAAAGCCCTTAGGTACCTGGGGGCTTTTTGACCTTCTTCTGAATCTTCTCATCTTCTGGCTAAACAGCTCCAGCCTCCCCTAACCTTTCACCCCTGGCCACTGACTTCTGAAAAGTATGCTAGTGGACCCAGGCCCAGAGCCAACAGCATGTGATCTGGCCCAGACGGAGGCTGGCAAGGCATGGCCCCTCCCTCATGTTGACACCCTGGGTTCACTGACACAGCTCCAAATGCATCAGTCACATCACGTGCTGACTCAAGTCAACACAGACCCAGAGCCGTTTCCTGTGGGCTGCCAACCTGCTCTCACTGCAGCATGCCATATGTAGGCAGTGGATGTCTCTAAAGTGCAAGACTCAGGACTTCTTTTTATTAAATGTCTTTCCTTGAAATGTCTTTCTAGGGCAGTCACATTGCAGTGCACAGCCTTGCACTGCCACTGGCTCATCTCTGCAGCGAGCCTCAGTTCCCAAAGGGTGGGGGAGTCCTTTGGTTCCTGCACCTCCCCCGCAGTGCCCAGAGCATGCACCACTGGTTGTGCTGCAGTCTAGGTTTGACAAAGACCCTGTCCAGCTTTGGCTTCTCTATGCCTGAGTTGGGGGAAGAAAACAGGGCTATGGCAAATCTATTCCACAGTGAGAGGCCCCACCTGCTCCTGGAGATGTGGAGAAAGTGGGGTAGTTAAGAGTGCTTGTCGTTTTTGGGAATAGCAGGATCAAAGGAGAGTTGAAGGGAGAAGTTTGGACAGAACTGGGTGGAAGGCAGAGAGAAACCTGGAGCCTGGCATGGCTTGGGGACCAGGCGATAACCAGTCCCAGTCTCAATGGGGAAAAGAAAGCCCTGCTATGGAACAGGGAGTCTGGGAGAAAGGGAAGGCTCCACCCCAGGTCAGGAAAACACCTGACCTCATGGGCTGCAGTCTCATTCCTTTCTCTCTTTTTTTTTTTTTAGAGATAGGGTCTTGCTATGCTGGCCAGGCTGGTCTTGAACTCCTGGGCTCCAGCAATCCTCCCACCTCAGCCTCCTGAGTTGCTGAGATTATAGGCATGAGCCACTGCACCCATGGTACCTAATTTCTGCCTGACTTGCTGCTGGCTCTTGGGTCCCTGGCCAGGACAGGACATGGAACGTGGGTAAGGGCCACAGACCAACTGTATGGCTCAATCCAGCAAGGTTGCTCTTGAATCCAGTTTTGCTTTTGCAGAAAGAGCTCCCCGCGAAGGCCTGCCTGAGGCAACTGAGTGAAACACAGGCAAAGCAAGGAAGAGAGAAGAGGTCAAGCCTTACCAAGGGCACAGAGCCAACTGCCCAGAGCAAGTGAAGTCAGAGAGATGGGAATCCCCAGGCCATGAGCCAAGGCTCCTCTAGGAGGGACAAGGGAGCTAGTGCCAAGTCCATGAAGGTTGACCAGAAGCCTCAGGCAAGGATCATTATTATTATTATTATTATTATTATTTTTTCTGCAGGGGGCAGGTCTGGAAGCTGCTTCCTCATTCTGGTACCACACCCAGATCACAGACTGGTAGGCTTAAAAAGTCCTCCCCGATCTGGCAGTGGGGTCACCACCCAGAATTCATGCTGTGCTAATGCCCGAGTCACTTATAGTAATGACAACTCACACACACAGCACATTCTGGTTCCCCATTCAGTCATCTGAGAGAGCTCAGCACCCAGCTGCTGCCACATCTCTCAATCCCTTGCTCCTGGCACATTACTCTACAGAAGCTCAACACTTTTTGTTGAATGAATGAGACTTCCCAGATCCCTCCCAGTAAACAGGCCAGGTACTGCAGTGTAGAGGCCATGTTTCCATGAATCCTACTTCCCACCTGAGTCTGAGGTCCCTCTGCTGATAGAACAAGCTGGTCCATAGGGGGAACCCCTTGGGGTCTGTCCTTCCCCAAGGTTGGGGTGCTTCTTGGGGAGCTGGCTGTAGGGCTGGTGCTGTGCTCCCCACCTCCCATAAGGCTTGTCTTCGCTTTCTCCATGAGTAGGTCTGCCTAGACAGGCCTGGCTGGCAGCGCTCCCAGCTAGGGAAATGGAATCTCTTTGTATCTGACGGCCTGGGCTAGGCTGACAGTCCAAGGGATTGGGTGTCGGCAGTATGGGCTGCCCTGCCCAGCCTGAGACGCTCAGGCCTGCAGGTACCTTGGGGCAGAAAGCCAGGCTTCTCATCCTGAATTGGAGACGGGCTTTGGCTCATTGTGCAGAATCAGAAGGACCCCAGCCTCACAGGCTAGAGCCAAAATCCGGCCCCAGTTTACCTGGGGATGACAGCAATGACCCCTAAGGTGGGAAGCACTTTGCTGTCAGTGCTTTGCAAAGTTTGATTTTTTTTTTTTTTAATTTTTAAAAAATATGGAACGCTTCACGAATTTGCGTGTCATCCTTTCACAGGGGCCATGCCAATCTTCTCTGTATCATTCCAATTTTAGTATATGTGCTGCTGAGGCAAGCACCAATGTTTGATTTTTGTTTTTGTTCTTGTTTGTTTCTGAAACGGAGCCTCGCTCTGTCACTGAGGCTGGAGTGTAGCAGTGCAATTTCAGCTCGCTCCAACCTCTACCTTCCAGGTTCAAGTGATTCTCCTGCCTTAGCCTCCTAAGTAGCTGGGATTACGGGCACCCACCACCACGCTCAGCTAATTTTTATATTTTTTGTAGAGATGGAGTTTCACTATGTTGGTCAGGCTGGTCTTGAACTCCTGACCACCCACACTGGTCTCCCAAAGTGCTGGGATTACAGACATGAGGCACTTCCTGCAGCCAACATCTTTTTTTAATTTTTTTTTGAGACAGGGTATTAACTCTGTTGCCCAGGCTAGAGTGCAGTGGCATGATCACAGCTCACCACAGCCTCAGCCTCCCAAGGCTCAGGTGATCCTCCCACCTCAGACTCTTGAGAGCTGGGACTATAGGCATGGGCCACCATGCCTGGCTAATTTTTGTATGGCCTCGTTATGTTGCCCAGGCTGGTCTCAAACTCCTGGCCTCAAGAGATCTACCTGCTTCAGCCTCCTAAAGTGCTGGGATTACAGGTGTGAGCCACCGCACCTGGCCCCTGGTTCCTTAAATGCATAATTCATAGGGCACTTTATGGGGGCTGTCCCGTTAAGTCTTATAACAAGGATCTTCATTTTAGATGAGAACTCTGAGGCTTGAGGCAGTTCCAGGGTCCAAACCTTGCTTGAATTTAAACTCGGAAAAGGCAGAATACAGAGAAAACCCAGAGTTTTGAATCCCACAGGCTGGACGAGTTATAGGAATAATCATACCAACTCTGACAAACTGTCAGAAGTAACACACGATACAAGGATATATACATGACCCGGCACATGGCAGGTATTCAGCAAACTCATTTTCTGCCCCCTCCCCTTTCCCTTCACTGAGCAGAAGCCATCTCCCCCCTGTAGCGCTCAGCATGGCCCCAGCTGCGCTTCAGCCTGAAAGCTTCTGGAAAAACATCTGGAACCTGTCCTGTTGGCTGAGGCAGAGGTGGCTAGAGGGGCCTCAGGCTATTGTCCCTGCAGTTCACAGAGCCACAATGCTGAAATAGAAGAAACTCAGCCATCAGCTCAATGAAACTCCTTATTTAACAGACAGGAATCCAGTGCCAGAGAGGGCTCAAGGGGCCCACAGCTCCTCAGGTGTCCAGACAGGGCCAGTACCCAGAAGCTCAGCATGCAGTCATGCGCCCCCTCCCTGATGCTCTGAAGCTCTCCTCTGAGTTCCCTCCCCTGGCTGGTGGGAGAAGAGGCGTAGCCCGGCAGATGAGCCTGTCTTCTCTGCAAACACTGCATTCTGGGGAAATGGCCTCCAGAGCAGGAGGCCCATGGGGACCTAGAGTTCCCTGCGCCTTGGCAGGTGGGCAGACAGGCTGGGGAGTGGGCTCCCTGCGCTGGGTGGTGAGTCACTCCCTAGCATGGCCAGGCCCAAACTCAAAGCTCAGCATTCTGGGAAGTGTGCAAGTCCATGTGAGCGGGGGTGGCGAACACAGACTGAGGAAGTGGTGATGGGGCTGGCTCGGGCAGATTAGCTGTGGCCATTCCCACAGAATCTCTGCCACTTCCTCTTGTGTCCCTAGCTTCTCAAGCCCAGTGAGTCCCCTTCTTTCTCCTGCCGGGGACCTACAGAAGGGCCAAAGCTTCTCTACCCTCTGGGGTGCCAAAGCAGGTAGCCCTGGCTTCTGAGGTGACAATGGTGAGCCCTCTCATCTCTATGGACTAGAAAACCTTCCTCATGCTGGGCATGGTGGCACATGCCTGTAATCCCAACACTTTGGGAGGCCAAGGTAGGTGAAGTGCTTGAGCCCACCAGCCTGGGAAACATGGCAAGACATTGTCTATACAAAAAATACAGAAATTAAATGCGCATGGTGGTGGGTGTCTGTGGTCTGATCTACTTGGGAAGCTGAGGTGGGAGGATGGCTCAAGGCTGCAGTGAGCCAAGATCATACCACTGTACTCCAGCCTGGGCAACAGAGAGAAACCCTGTCTCAAAAAAAAAAAAGAAAAAAGAAAGAATCCCAGCACTTTGGGAGGCTAAGGCAGGCAGATCACCTGAGGTCGGGAGTTCCAGACCAGCCTGATCAACATGGAGAAACCCTGTCTCTACTAAAAATACAAAATTAGCTGGGCATGGTGGTACATGCCTGTAATCCCAGCTATTCAGGAGGCTGAGGCAGGAGAATTGCTTGAACACAGGAGGTGGAGGTTGTGGTGAGCTGAGATTGCGCCATTGCACTCCAGCTGGGAACAAGAGTGAAACTCTGCCCCCCCCCCAAAAAAAAAAAAAAAGGAGAGAAAAGAAAACCTTTCTTAGTAGATCTTCAGTGTCTGGTAAGAAGGTAGAGCAGGGATCATCAAGTCCATTTTACAGATGAGGAAACTGAGGCTCAGAAAGGTCCAGTGCCTCACCTACTCTCCAGCTCCCAAGCCTCATGCACTTTCCACTCTACTACACACTGTCCTCCTGATTTAACGCTTCGTCAAGCTGGCCCAACAATCCCATGCCAGTTCATGGAACCCAAGGGTGGTGGAGGCAGCCACCAAGGACAAACTTTGGAGCTAGCACAGAAACAACACAGAAGAAGAGTGAACACCTCTTCTTTAGTAGAGGCCTAGTGGTTTCCAGGCTTCCTCCCACTTTCCTGGCAAGGTTCCTGGTCTGGGCATGAAGGGAAGTCAGGCTGATATCCCTGGCTGGGTGGAAGGGTCCTACAGCTTGCAGAACTTAGGAGGGGAGCTGAGCCTTGCTTAGTGGGCATCTACTTGACTCTGGTTCTTTTTATTTATTTATTTATTTATTTATTTATTTATTATTTTTTGTAAAGAACAAGGTCTCCCTATGTCGACTAGGCTGATCTTGAACCTCTGGGCTCAAGTGATCTTCATGCCTCGGCCTCCCAAAGTGCTGGGATTACAGGCTTGAGCCACAGTGCCCAGCTGACTCCAGCTCTTCAGCTGCAGAACGTCCTGGATTCAGGAGACTTGGGCTCTGATACGAGCACCTGCAGATGGGCACTGGCTCAGGCAGATAGAAATGGCTTGGCCTAAGGGAGATGATGGACAGAAGGCGCTGGTGAGGTTTTGAGGAAAACAGCCAGGGAAAGAAGAAGCTACTTCTCAGGGAGGGGTCCCCTGCCAGGACCCAGGGATGGGGCCACAGGCCCAACATGGCTGGTTGCAGTCTCCCAAAGCCTGCTGAGCGGGCAGAGAGGAAAGCTGACCTGCGGCCCCAGCACAGCAGGCAGCATGTGCTCACATGTGCTTCCTCATCCCCTGCCTTTTGTCTTCCCAAGAACCTGGGAAGGGAAACATCATGCTCTTGTCACAGCCCAAGAAACTGCCAGAGGCAACCACAGGCTGTCAGTGTCAACCTTGAGTGGCTCGGGCTCCAGCAGGAGGACAAGCAGGGTGGTGACAGCAGGGTCTCTTGGCTGGCTGAGAGATTTGCTGCCCAGTCCTGGAGGGAAGACACATAAAGGCTAGGAGGGCAGATGCCACTTACAGGTTTACAACTTCCACAAGCACAGGCTTGTCTCTTCTGGCCTCAGGAGCTGTGAGAGGAAACCCCCAGGAAGGAGGAACTTTGGGATATCACAGCCATAAAAGAGGCCCCCATTCAGATACCAACCAGTTGAGTCACAGAAAGAAACTTCTCCTGGGGCCTCTTCTATAAATTGTGGGGATTAGGCTGGATGGTTTCTATACTTTTAACAACTCTAAATGCCCCAAGAATGTCTGGAGAATATGCTAGGTATAGATGCCTAAAAAATGAGTAAGAAATGGCTATTTCTCCTTAAAAGGCTCATAGTTTCTCAAAGTATGAAGCCAGATAGAACCTGGAACACCACCTTCAGAGTGGAAAAGCTCCTGATGAGGGCTCCTGATGAGAGCTCTTCCACACCACACCAACCCCACCTCGCTCTGGAGCCTGACAGGGCCCAGGTGGACATGAGGTCTGACTTGGAGAGGGTCACTGTCCACTGATCTCCACGTAACTTGCTATCATTTCAGACAAAGGCCACTGGGCACTACAGCCCTTATGGTGAAAAGAAGGGGCAGGAAGGCCCTGCCCTGAGATGGAGACAGAGAGAGGCAAAGAGCTGCCATCCTGCCCACAACAGAGGCTATGCCCTGTCCCTTAGCCTCATGACTGGCCTGGGTCCTCAGTCCCTTATCTCCTGGCAACTTTCTCCCCATCTCACCCTCTACATCAGAACCGGACGGCCCACTTGCCATCTCTGTCTGAGTTAATGGCAATTCTCTTCTCCCAGGCGGAAACCCTGGAGTGATCCTTGTTTCTTGCTCATGTGGGTCAGGCCTGTGACCATTTGGCACCTGGACTCTCCCTTCCTTTCCCTTCTCACTGCCACCTCCTAGCTCTGCTCATCTGCTATGCAGCAGCCTTGGAGTGGTCTCACCTGCACCAAACGACTCTTCATGTGGACCATGGAGTGAATCAACAATGACTTTCAACATGTCATTCCCCGGCTCAAAAGCACTTCTCTGATTATGGGAGAAAATCTAGCCTGGGCATTTGGTGCCGGTTACAAACGACTTTGATCTGGCCTTTCCATAGACTTTCCTTGCCTTAAAGTCTCAGTCGCATTCCAAAATCCCACCTAAGCTTCAAGGCGCAGCTTTAACCCTTCCACCTTGCGGGGTTCATGGGGCACCTCCCTGTCTGCAGCCTGAGCCGTCCATGCTCACTGGGTCACTCGGCCTGCACAGCCACTACTGCAGCTCGTGGGCACAAGTCCTGGGGCCTCTCCCAGTAGTGGAGGGAGGTGCTCAGGCTCGGACGCCAGCACTGGAAGGGCCGTGGAAAGGAAGCGGTCCAACCCTCCTGTTTAAAGTTGTGGAAACAGGCGCTGAGACTGAAAGTGACAGCAAATCAAAGCCGGGGCTCGGATCCTCCAGCCCCCGGCGCAGCCCGGCTCTGCACTTCCCCGGATCTCGCATCTCTTGGGTGGTCATAAAGCGCGTGAACCGACCGGAGCAAGTGGGCAAGTAGAACCCAGAAAGGCAGGGCCGAGATGGAGGAAGGCGGAGAACGAGGGCCGGGGTCGCCAAGGGCCCACAGGCCCGGCAGGGCCCAGACTCACTTTGCCGATAGTGTGTTGATGGAGCCGGTAACGAGCATGAGCCCGGCCAGGAACAGCTGGTACTTGGTCCAGGCCATGGCGGCGGACGCTGGGCTCGATCCAGTCAGCGGTGCCGGGCCCCGACACCCGGGGGTCGCCAGCACTAGCGCTTCCGGGCCGGGCGTCACGTGACCCCGCCGGTCCCGCCAGCCCGTTCGCCCCGCCCCTGGGGAGCGCGCGGCAGCCGCGGTGCCAGCGCTCTGCTGAGTCGGCCGGAGCGCTTTGGTGGCCACACCGCGGCCGTGGCAAATCATGGCCCAGGTCATCCTATTTTTATTTTCTTCTCTTCCCTGTCCTTTCCTGCTTTTTTTTTTTTTTTTTGTGGGGGGAAGGAGTCTTGCTGTTGCCCAGGTTGCAGTGCAATGGCACGATCTTGGCTCACTACAATCTCTGCCTCGCAGGTTCCAGCGATTCTCCTGCCTCAGCTTCCTGAGTAGCTCGGATTCCGGCGCCCGCCACCACGCTCAGCTAATTTTTTGTATTTTTAGTAGAGACAGGGTTTCACCATGTTGGCCATGTTGATCTCCAACTCCCTACCTCAGGTCATCCGCCCGCCTTGGCCTCCCAAAGTGCTGGTATTACAGGCGTGAGCCACTGCTCCCTGCCTTGATTTCTTATTTTTATCTTTGGGACTTCCTGTTTGTGAAAGGGGTTGATGGGACGGTGCAATCAGGGCGCATCATGGATGTTAGTTTTGTAAATCGTTTCGAGAGGTTGAGCTGGGCTCTGTCAGAGAGAAGCCCCGAACTGGGCCTGCCAGGAGTTCCCTGGGGACCCTGTAGAGAGGTGGTTCCCACGCTGGACGTTTCCACTTCAGGGCTCCTCTCTGACACTGCCCACCTTGGGTACAGTTCATATCTTTCACCAAAGTGGTGAAGGAATCTAGCTCCAGTTGCCGAGGATACCATTTTATAGCTGAGGACAGTAAATCCAGAGAAGCTGAGTGATTTGCTTAAGAACTTGCTGGTGAACAAACAGTAGGGTAGGGATTTGCGTTGGAGTTCCCTAGTCTCCAAAAATCTGTCTCTTCTGCATGGCCCCTGCACCAAGCCCTGCTCACTGCACCTTTGTGGACTCTGGTCACAGCTCAGAGACATCCAGGCAGAAAGACCATCCCTAGGTTTGTTTGAAGAGGGCATTGATGAAGAGTCAAACTCTAAAGTATTTGGAGAGATTTATTCTGAGCCAAATATGAGTGATCACGGCCCATAACACAGCCCTCAGGAGGTCCTGAGAACGTGTGCCCAAGGTGGTGGGGGTGCAGCTTGCTTGGTTTTGTACGTTTTAGAGGCAGGAGACATCAATGAAATACATTTAAGAAATACATTTGTTTCGTTTAGAAAGGTGGGACAACTCAAAGCCGGAAGGAGGGGAGGGTGTAGGGGAGAAAGGGGAAAAGATCTATCTACGCTAATAGAGATTTTTTTTTTTTTTGAGATGGAGTTTTGCTCTTGTCACCTAGGTTGGAGGGCAATGGTGCAAACTTGGTTCACTACAACCTCCACCTCTCAGGTTCAAGCAATTCTTCTGCTTCAGCCTCCGGAATTATAGGCACCTGCCACCACATCCAGCAATTTTTTTTTTTTTGTTGTATATTTAGTAGAAACGAGTTTCACTATGTTGGCCAGGCTGGTCTTGAACTCCTGACCTCAGGTGATCCACCCGTCTTGGCCTCCCAAAGTGCTGGGATTACAGACAATAGAGATTCTTAACAGATGCAAAATTTCCCCAACAAAGGGCAGATTTGAAGGGCTGTTTCAAGATATGGCAAAGAAACATGTTTTGGGTAAAACTTTCTACTTTGTCACGTAATATTATGCCAGAGTCAGATTAGAAAGTAAGTCACAATATATAGGGCTGAATAAAACCTATCTGATGAGAATTTATGGTTTGTAGGGTATGAGTCTCTAGAACTCTTAGATAAGGAATTTGGGCAAGATAAAACAAATCGAAGCTTAGTCCTCAGGGGTTTCTGTCTTTTAAATTCCTGCTCTTGGCCAGTCCTGGTGGTTCACATCTGTAATCCTAGCACTTTGGGAGGCCGAAGCGGGCAGATGGCTTGAGCTCAGGATTTCCAAACAAGCCTGGACAACATGGCAAAACTTCTACTAAAAATGCAAAAATTAGCCAAGTGTCATGACAAGTACCTGTAATCCTAGCTACTCAGGATCACTTGAGGATCCTGAACGCGAAGCAGGAGGATCACTTGAGCCCTGGAGGCGAAGGTTGCAGTGAACTAAGATCGTGCCACTGCACTCCAGCCTGGGTGACAAAGTGAGACCCTGTCTAAAAAAAAAAAAAATCTGCTCCTATATATCTTCCCCCGTGCTCTAGTCTGCACCCATGCCCTGTCATGCCAGAGGCAAGGCCCTTTTGTTACCAGAGAGGGGTCCTGATCCAGACCCCAAATGAGGGTTGTTGGATCAGGCATGAGAAAGAAGTTGGGGGAAATCCATAAAGTAAAAAGAATTTTGTTAAGAAAGTAAAGGATAGGCCGGGCTCAGTGGCTCACGCCTGTAATCCCAGCACTTTGGGAGGCAAAGGCGGGTGGATCATGGGGCCAGGAGTTCCAGACCAGCCTGGCCAAGATGGTGAAACCCCAGCTCTACTAAAAAATACAAAAAATTAGCCAGGCTTGCTGGCACACGCCTGTAATCCCAATTACTCTGGAGGCTGAGGTGAAGGATTGCTTAAACTTGGGAGGCAGAAGTTACAGTGAGTCAAGATTGCACCATTGCACTCCAGCCTGGGCGACAGAGGGAGACTCTGTCTCAAAGAGGAAGAGGAAAAGAAAAAAAAAAGAAAGTAAAGGATAAAGAATAGCTACTCCATTGGCAGAGCAGCCCTGAGGGCAGCTGGTTGGCTATTTTTATGGATATTTCTTGATTATATGCCAAAGAAGGGGTGGATTATTCATGAGTTTTCTGGGAAGGGGGTTCTTCCCCTTTTTAGACCATATAGGTTAGCTTCCAGATATTGCCATGGGATCTGTAAACTGCTGCAGCGCTGGTGGGAGTGTCTTTTAGCATGCTAATGCATTATAAATAGCGTATGATGAGCAGTGAGAAAAACCAGCACTGGGCACTTTGGAAAGCTGAGGCAGGCGGATCATCTGAGGACAGGAATTCAAGACCAGCCTGACCAACATGGAGAAACCCCATCTCTACTAAAAATACAAAACTTAGCTGGGTGTGGTGGTGCATGCCTATAATCCCAGCTACTTAGGAGGCTGAGGCAGGAGAATCGCTGAAAACCTGGGAGGCCGAGGTAGTGGTGAGCCGACATCGAGCCATTGCACTCCATCCTGGGCAACAAGAGCGAAAATCTATCTCAAAAAAAAAATGTACAGGCTAGGCGCAGTGGCTCACGTCTGTAATCCCAGCACTTTGGGAGGCCGAGGCGGGTGGATCACGAGGTCAAGAGATCGAGACCATCCTGGTCAACATGGTGAAACCCTGTCTCTACTAAAAATACAAAAAATTAGCTGGGCACAGTGGTGCGTGCCTGTAATCCAGGCTACTCAGGAGGCTGAGGCAGGAGAATTGCCTGAACCCAGGAGGCGGAGGTTGCGGTGAGCCGAGATTGCGCCATTGCACTCCAGCTTGGGTAACAAGAGCGAAACTCCATCTCAAAAAAAAAAATAAAAAATGTTTAGTGAGACTTAGAATGAATAAAATACAGCCCAAGGGGCAGACTGGGGCAGCCTGCAGTGGCAGACACCCATCCCTTTCAGAGGCCATTCCTATAGGCCACAGTGACTCAGTTGGTGAGGCTCTGGACCATTTTCCCCGTGTGCCCAGACCAAGGAAACATCCTGAAGTAAACATTACTAATGATCATTATTAATGACCAGACCGACATGATGTCACTAGCAGCACAGTGTCTGTTTCTACAGCCACATCATATGATGAATTTTGATTTATCACAATGTTCTGACCATTCATCAAACTGCTGTCTGTGGATCCAGGAGACAGAATTTATTGGCAAATACACATGGAGCCCACTAAGTGTAAGGCCTAGAGCCAGATATGGGGTCCTAAGGAAGATGGAAGCAAGACAAGGTCACTGTCCTCAAGGAATTTGAGATTCAGTGGAGGAGAGGGGTCAGTACTGCATTAACCATGTAGCAAGGTGAGAATGTGTAAGAGGCAGAGGGGGTTGAAGGAAGGATGGATTAACTAAGGGAGTGGGCAAGGAGGGGACAACAGTGACAATCAGAACTGTCCTGGACCAGGTGCCCTGTCTGTGTCAGGCCTGTGCCTGGAGCTTGACCTCTCTGGCCTCGGTTTTCATAGTAGCCCTGTGGAACTGGAATCAGAGGGAACCTGAGCAGGGACTTGTAGGAGGAGCAGGATTTCTCCAGGTGGGGAAGGCAGGGTCATCCCAGCCAGAGACAACCACGTGGACACCATGGGGTGGCTGATCAGCCCTTACACCGGGCTCACCTACAGTGAGGCTCCAGGTCTCTGCCACCTGGCTAGAATGTGCTTTAGGGGAGAAAACTAGAATAGACATTAGAGCCCTCAGTTAGTAGTGAGCCTGGGCTAAGGTATCATGGCCTTAAGGGACAGGAATTCTGAGAAAAATAGAGAGGAATGGTCAGAGGCATTTGAACCAGAGTGACTCTATGCTGAATAGAGGCTGTGTAAAATAAGACTGAGACCTACTGGGCTGCGTTCCCAGGAGGTTAAGCACTCTTAGTTAAAGGATGAGACAGGAGGTTGGCATGAGATACAGGTCACAAAGACCTTGCTAGACCTTGCTGATAAAACAGGATGCAGTAAAGAAGCTGGTCAAAACCAAGATGGCAACAAAAATGACCTATGGTCAAAAAGGGGGAGGAACCCTCAGTTCCAGGAAATCCCCATCCCTTTCCTGGAAAATTTATGAATAATCTACCCCTTGTTTAGCATATAATCAAGAAATAACTATAAGTATACTCAGGTGAGCAGCCCATGTCATTGCTGTGCTTATGGAGTAGCCATTCTTTTATTCTTTTACTCTCTTAATAAACTGGCTTTCACTTTACTCTGTGGATTCACCTTGAATTCTTTTGTCTTGCTTGAGATCCAAGACTCCTTTCTTAGGGTCTTGATTGGGACCCCTTTCCAGTAACAGAATCAGGGTGAATATGTGCATGCATAGACTTTGA